TGAGCCAAAGCAAAACTAACCTGTAGGTGACCACTCTGGAATTCCACTTTGTGTGACGTGGGAATAGTGAATATTCTGCAACATCTGGCACTCCACATCTGGGCTTCAGCATTATCTCTATAATATGGGAGTTTAACATTCCAGTGATAGGGAGGCGGAAGAATTTTTGCATCTGCTTGAGCTTAGCTGCTAAACTATTGGCATCCCTTGTTTCGGGGTCAGATGGATAAAATCTCTCGAGATAGCCCTGTTGGAAAAAGAGAGTAATTGATCTGTAACTCTTGTTTATTTCCTTCTGTTATCTCAGAAATCTGCACATCTTTGCCTTTGGAGATTCCTGTGGACCCAAATAGTGGTTTGAAGACAGAATAACTACATAGTAACCAAGTAAAACAAGTGCACATTAATGAGAAGAAAGTTTAATATTGATGATGAAGTATTGCCATTCCATTTCATAGCAAAAGAAGAGTCCCTCCATTTCTCTTTTATCCCTTTAACAGTATGGAAGAGAACCCACTGTAGACTTTATAAAACATCGACTTGCTTTTGTAATAGCCAATCAGGAAGAGTACCAATGTGTCCTCAAGGGGACAACGGAGACCTCCTGTCATCATCGGAGACCCTGTGGGGAGATTTGAAGTCATCTAGCCCCGTCTAATATTCTTGGGAGATCTGGTCCCGGCTGAGGTTAAAGGTCTTAAAATTTTGGGAGCGGAAGACTAAGGTAGATGTTTCTCCAAAGAAGACGTACAGATGGCCAACAGGCACGTGAAAAGATACTCAACATTGCTAATTATTAGAGAAATGCAAATGAAAGCTACAATCAGGTATCATCTCATACCAGCCAGAATGGCCATCATCAAAAAGTCCACAAATAATAAATGCTGGAGAGGTTGTGGAGCAAAGGGAACCCTCCTACACTGTTGGTGGGAATGTAAATTGGTGCAGCCACTATGGAAAACAGTATGGAGGTTCCTTAAGAAACTAAAAATAGAGTTACCATATGATCCAGGAATCTCACTCCTGGGCATATATCTGGAAAAGTTGAAAACTCTAATTCAAAAAGATATATGTACCCCAATATTCATAGGGGCACTATTTATAATAGCTAAGACACGGAAACAACCCAAGTGCCCATCAAATCAATTCATTGATTGATTTAAGAAGATGCGGTATAAGTGTGTGTATATATATATATATATATGAATGTTAACCATAAAAAGGATGAAACATTGCCGTTTGCAGCAACGTGGATGGACCTAGAGATCATCATACTAAGTGAAGTAAGTCAGAGAAAGACAAATACCATATAATATCACTTATATGTGGAATCTAAAAAACAGTACGAATGAACTTATTTACAGAACAGAAGCAGACTCACAGACATAACAAACAAACTTATGGTTACCAAAGGGGAAGGGGTGTTAGGGATAAATCGAGAGTATGGAATTCACAGATACACATTACTATATATAAAATAGACAAACAACAAGGACCTAATATATAGCACAGGGAACTAAACTCAATCTCTTGTAATAAACTATAATGGGAAAGAATAGAAAAAAAAAGAAGAAGAAATACACACACACACACACACACACACACACATATGTGTGTAACTGAATCACACTTGAAACTAACACAATATTGTAAATCAACTAAACTTCAATTTAAAAACATTGGTCTTAAGTGTATTCATGTTATGACTGAAAAATTGTGCTCTACACTGCAAATGGACACAACATTGTAAACTGACTATAACTCAATAAAATAAAAATTAAAAAAAATTGATCTTAAAATTTTAGCCCTGAGAAAGGATATTATGACATTATTTAGTTTAATGTATGTATTCTCCAGATGAGGAATCAAAACCCATAGTGACTAGATGATTTGCCCAGGGCCACGTATTAAGTTAGCAGCAGAGCTAGCCCTGAGTTTCTTGACTGCCAGTCCTGTGCTCTTTCTACAGTTAAATCTCTAGTGAAACCCACTTCGTGAGGCTGCAGGATAAAGCAGGTCTCTCAGGTGTATTCCAGTGCAGTTGGGTCCCTGGAATTTCTTAGAGGACCCTAGTGAGTGGATAGGAGGAGGGCAGTCCAGCAGCCTAAATAAGAAAAAAAAACCAAAAGTGAATGAAATTACAGCAGCAGCCTGCCAAGGACTTTTATTAAGCACTTACTAGTGGCAGACACCATCCTAGGAGCTTTCCATACTCAAATCTCACTTAAACTTCATCAGCACCCTATGAAGTGGGTTATGGTGTTAGAATTCCTAGCTCACATTTGAAGAATCATGGCTCAGAGAAGTGGAATAACTTGCCCAAGGTCACCCCATGAATAGCTGAAGGAGTCAGTGTTTGAACTCGTGTTCTGATTCCAAAGCGCATTTCATTAGAGAAATGTATGAAGTTGCAGAATGCGTGATTGTATTGTCGAAGTGATTTAAACACTGGCTCACTTACGTGCAGTCTAATCTGGATGAGGTGGTGATGGTTGCTTGTCTGAGAACCTCTCAGGAGTATGCACTTCACGTAAGTAAACTTAGCAGAACTGTGGTCTCTCTTCCTGCTGCCAGTGGCTGTGTTTCATTCAATACAACAAACACTTACTGTTCATCCATGACAACTACGAATTAATCCCTTATTTAAAAACAAATAGCTCATTTTATCCCTTCCAGAGATAACAGGCTTTTACAAAGACACCCTTTGGAAGAAATTTCTCTGCAACCTTGAGATGAATTTTCCTGTCTTCCTGTAAACCCAATGAACCTCCCTCTGGCTTATTGGCAACCCGCAGGCTAGGTGAAGGGACTCGATACTCTCGCAAGCATACTCCTTCTAGAGGGTCCATTAAGTGGAACCAGATGAAACTGCTGTTTTGGAGATAAAAAGCAGTCAAGTGTCAGTAATGTCAAAGTTAGTGTGAAAGAAAACCTCAGCTTTTCTTATGTTTAAAGCTTAAATTTATAAATAATACTTAGGAGTAGACATCCCATTATTTTACCAAATCATAATTACTTACACTTATTAAGCAGTATATTGGAAAGAACATGACTTTTGAACCAGAACTTGTCTTTGACTCCTGTCTTTACCATTAGCAAGTACGTGAATCAACTTAACTTTGGTTTCTCCTTTTTCCCAAGATAGAGCTAAGGAGTCAATGACACAATGTCAATGAAGTACTTTATCATCTGTGAATTGTTACATACATGGTAGTTGGTATGTTACCACTTCATGTATTCACTAGAATAATCCAGTGAGGTACAGAACACAGCATTATCATCTCCATCGAGCATATGAGCAAACAAAGTCAGAAGTTCATGCCTCTCCCATCATTATCTGCTTTGAGTTTGAGACCTGTAACTTCTACCCTCATTTTCTGATTTCAAGTCTCTCCATCACAAGTAGTCCTCATCTTACGAGGTAACACTTTGCTCCTTATGAAAAAAATTCCAATACAAATTACAATAAATAACAGCACCAGTAACAGCTTCAATTTATTGAATATGAACAATGTTTCGGGTCCTCTGTTACGTGCTTCACCATACCCCCATTTGGTAGGCATCACTATCACCCCCAACTTCCGAGGGAGAAAACCGAAGCTCGGAGAAGTTTACTAACACTCCCATGTTCATCGACACAGCTAAATGGAGGAGTTGGAACTTGAACTTGAATCCAAAGCCTGCTCTTTAATAGCTATTGACTAAATGCTACATTGCTTTTATAATCAGAAAAATTCCCCACACTGAAAGACACACTTCCTCAGCCTGATGGTGAGCCTGTGGGGCCCCAGGGGTGTGGACCAGTGACATACCTGAGCCTGCTCCCACTGCTGCTCACTCATGCCTCCCGCCTCCCAGGGCAGTGGCAGGGCCAGGCCGCCAGGCAGGAGACACACAGCGCACAGCACGGCCAGCTGCATAGCTGCTGCCCGGAGAGGACAGTTCCCGGACTTATGGTCGCTTTGGTGTTTTCTGCCAGGGGCTGGAGAGATTTATATAGCTTCCCAGCCTTGACTGTGGACGTAGGTGACTCATTTGAGTGTTTGCTTTGTTTTTAGTGTCTACAGAACTTTTGAAAATGTGTGTTATCTTTCATTAATGACAACGAGGAAGTATTATGTCCTTATTGGCAGGAAGCACATGATGTATTCATCTTGCAAAGGAATTTTTTCCCACTGATCTGCTGTATAAATTTAATCCATGAGAGAACACGTTTAACTTGCCAGAATCAACTTGCTACTTAGGCATGCCTTCTCCGTTCAAAAATTTGGGGGAGGGATGGGAAGGGATAAATTGGGAGTCGAGATTTATAGATACTCACTATTGCATATAAAATAGACAAACAACAAGTTTCAACTGTATAGCACAGGAAACTGTATGCAGTATCTTGTAACCTGTAATGAAAAGGGATATGAAAATGAATATACGTGTGTATATATATGACTGAACTATTATGCTGTACATTGGAAATTGACACAACATTGTAAACTGACTATACTTCAATTAAAAAGAAATTGGGGGGAGCATTATTCAGGACATGCTGGATCTTCAAATAATTTTTTAAAAATTTGGAATGCATAGAAAAGTACACAAAACACACAAATAATCAAATAATCATTAAGCAAACATTCTGTGACAGTCACCAGAGTCACAGAGCAGAACAATGGGCAGAGGTGGCAGGTGAAAGGATGCGTTGCGATCTGGGTCAGCGGCTGCTGGCGAAACTGTGCTCCATTCCCTCGCCTTCCAGGTCCCTTCATGGAGCCCTGAGCCTTCCCTCTTCATGTCTCCTTTAATCAGAATATTTCTTTTCCACGTGGTCAGCACTACTTGAACTCCTCTTGAATTGCATTAAAAAAGATTTAAAAACTGAAAATCTTCAAGCATGGGCTTGCCTGCTTAGTGTCTATCACAGCTAGCAGGAGTTCTCCCAGCTTTCTCCCAAGGTGGCCTTCAACTTGGAAATCGCTTTATCTAGTCTTTCTCTTCCAATCATTCTGACTTCGGCTGCTAACCAGCCACCAACCAGTAGGGCTGGCTTGGTCCTCAATACACATAATGGTTATTCCACACATACCAATGAAAGACCCGGGACCTAGAGATTCTCGTCTATCTACTTTTTTACTGAAGATGAAACTGAAGCCAAGATGACAGCTTGACTTATTTCCTTGAGGTCACACAGCCTGTTAGTGGTAGTCCTGACTCCTAGTCGAGTGCTTTTTGTGTCACAACATACTATCTATACATTTTGTCATTATGCATAATGTATGTTTCTTGGGAGAGCACGTGGCTTTTTGACTATAACGTATCAATGGGAAACACCCCAAATAGACTGGAGTTGAAAAACTTAGTTACTCAGCTATCTCCTAAATCATCTGGTGATTGAGTGCTATGTGTTAGCAAAGGTAAAATTTCCAGATCAATGAATTATATTTGCTCTCTTTACATACATGCTTTAATCCTGTGTGGTCACAGTTCAGCTGTATTTGAAGACCCGGCACCTTTAGTCAGTGTCAGGCACGTAACAAGTGCACAACGTGTGTTTATAGAATCAATAAATATTCATGGGCTTGGATCAGCTGTATGGAAGTTATATGAGTTTCTGTGATCTTTACATTGAACTGAAGTTAAAAGGCATTCCCTAGATTTTATATTTTTTGATTTCTGGTCATTCTTTTTGGTAATCCAAAGAACATTAGACATTACAAATATTTTAAAAGAATTATAGTAACTCCCTTGAATATTTACTTTGGAAAGGGAGAAAGACGTCTTCTCTTGTTCATCTGAATTGTAGTTTGTGAAAAAAATGAATGAGTAGGATCAAGCTCCAGTCCCTGCCTTTAGAAGTTTCTGCTGTGGGGTGGGAACTTAGAGATGTAAATACTACTTAAACCAATGCAATAAATGCTTACAATATGCAATGCTACTAACGAGAAGGGAACAGCTAATCCTTCCTGTGGAAGGTGAGGAATGATCTGCATAGGAGGTGGCATTTTAGCTGGATTTTGGAGGGTGACTAGGAGTTCCCTTGGGATAGAATATCATAGGAAGAGTGTGGACAGAGAAGAAGAGCCAGGATGGAGAAGAGAGACAGTCTGTGTTGCTGGGGAGGGGGGTAAGTGGCTGGAAAAGCAGATTGGGGTCAAGCTGTGAAGAGCCAGCTTTGCTTGAACTTCAAGGGTGTCAAAGACTGTTTTAAAGGAAGAAGGTAGTATTATCAGATTTGTGACGTTGTGAGAAAATGGTGGTGATTGTTCTGAAGGTGGACAGTGGAAAGAGAGCTGAGTCTCTGCAGAGCAACATTAGAGAGGCAGACAGATGAAGAAAAAATTATTACAATAATCCAAGTGAGAGAGAGAGGATGAGGCCCTAGACCAAGAATGACTGTGGGGATAGAGAAGAGAAAGGAAATTCAAGCTCTAGAAAGAAGGTAAAGTCAATAAAAAGCAAAACGAAACAGAAGCTTAGGAGCTGATTGGTTGCAGGAGCGAGGAAGAGAGATGGTTTCGTGGATGATGGTTCTGTAATGATGATAGAGATGAGGTTTACGGGAGAAGGAACGAGAAGTAAAGTTGTTAAGAGGAACAGGGCTTTGGTTGTGGTTAAATCATGACAATTTTGAAGACTGAGTCTGGATATTTTCAGCTGGAAAATCAGATCTGGAGTTCCTGAGGGCGACCTGGACTGTAGATATAGGTTGTGAGTGACGGTTTTTGAAAGTCACTTCTAAAAAACATTGTAAAATTTGCATGATACCAAATTTACCATTTTAACCAGTTTTAAGTGTACAATTCGGTTGCATTGAGTACATTCACAATGTACAGCCATCACTGGTATCTACTTCCAGAGCTTTTTCAACATCTCAGACAAACTCTGTACCCATTAAACACTAACTCTTTCTCCCCCACTGGTAATCTCTGTATCCTGTCTCTGTGAATTTGACTGTTCTAAGAACTTAACATAAATGTATTCATACAATAGTTGCCCTTTTGTGAATGGATTATTTCACTTGGCATAATGCTGACCAGTTTCCCACATATCATAGGATGTATCAGAACCTCACTCCTTTTTATGCCTGAATAAAATTCCATTGTATGGACGTACCACACTTTGTTTATCTATTTATCCTTCAGTGGACACTTAGGTTGTTTCCACTCTTTGGCTGTTGTGGATACACGTGCAGTAAGCGTCGGTGTACAAATATCAGTTTGAGTCTCTATTTTCAGTTATTTTGGGTGTATACCAAGAAGGGGGATTGCTTGGTCATATGACAATTCTCGGTTTAACTTCTTGAGGAATTACCAAACTGTTTTCTAAGGTGGCTGCACTATTTTAAATTCTCACCAGCAATTCACGAGGATTTCAGTTTCTCCACATCCCTGATGTTTGTTATTTTCTGCAAAAAATTTTTTGAAATTATAACCATTCTCGTCGGTGTGAAGTGGTATCTCAATATGGTTTTGATTTGTATTTCTGAAGACTAGTGAGTGATGTTGAGCATCTTTTCATGTGCCTGTTACCCATTTGTAAATTTTGAAGAGGTGTCTTTTCAAGTTCTCTGCCCATTTTAAAAACTGAGTTGTTTGTCTTTTGGTTGTTGAGTTGTAAGGATTCGTTACATATTCTGGCTGTGAAGCCCTTATCAGGTGTATGATTTGCAAATGTTTTCTCCCTTTCTGTAGGTTGTCTTTTCCCTTTTTTGCTAGTGTCCTTTGATGCATAAAGTTTCAATTTTGATGAAGTCCAATTAATCTGCTTTTCCTTTGGTTTCATGCTTCTGATGTTGTATCTAAGACTCCACCACCAAGTCCAAAGTCTTGAAGATTTATGCCTATGTTTTCTTCTAAGAGTTTTACAGTTTTAGCTCTTATATTGAGGTCACTGATTCACACGCTTTATTTTGGATAGCTTTCCTTTTTATACCTTTAATCTTCCCTTGCTGCAGTGTGATTTTTCTGCTTTGGTGTTCTGACCACACTGACTGAACTTGTTATCATGTTAACGGGATCAGTTTCCTTTTTGTCATAGTGAAAAATGACTTAACCTCTCTGTGCTTCAGATCCTTATCTAAAAAATGGTGGCAGTACCCTTCTCTTTGAATCGTGGAGAGAATTAAATGGAAGGATCAAGTATATAGAAGACTTAGTAGCATTTTTGGAGCATGATATGGTCAGAGGTCTATAAATGCTAGCTAGTATGGTTGTCACTGTCATTAGATGCTAGGAGTTTTTCGTATTGTAATGCCCTTTTTTTCACCTCTATGAACCTAGCATGGTGATCAGATAATTAAGTATAAAAGAAAAATGGAAGTTTAAAAGGTTTTCTTCCAATAATTTGATTGAGGCTGATAATGCCAATGTTTTCTGAGACACAAGGAAGTAACTATTTTTAATATTACAGTTGCGGTGTGTTACAATAACCAGAGAAACCTCCTTATCATAGATGCTATTTACTTTTTAAACAAGAAAAGCATTTGTGGTATTTATCAATACAATTTTGGGGTGGAGAGTATGAGCAACGAAACTTCCACAGTAGAAGAATCACAAAGATTAGAATAGAGCAGATCAGATGTTACAAGTGACACAGCTTTAATTTTAAATGCATAGAAACATTTCATGTTAGGAGATGGGCATGTGTGTGTATGTGTATGTATTGTATGTATGCTAACATGTTACTGAAGGATACATTTTAATAAAGATTTCTGTCCTAACTGGAAAAAAAAAAAAACCACAGATGAAAAGAAGGCAGTGAAATACCTTAATAGTTGCAGCTGATGATACAAACGTCCCTCCCATTGCATCCAGGTGAGAGGCCACCAGACAAAGTGACATTTAAGCCTGTTCTGAGTGGAATGTGAGCCTCTGCCACAATGTTGCCTCTGAGTGCAGCACCCCCCACCCCCGACCCCAACACACACAGCCCTATGCATCAGCTAATGGAAAGTTCTAGAACTGGGGAAAGAAGGGGCATACAGAGG